GTTGTTGTTGTTGTTGTTTTTGTTGTTGTTGTTGTTGTTGCTGCTGCTGCTATTGTTTACGGTAGTGCTCTGTGTATGTCTGTGTGTTTGTGTTGATGCGCAGGTTTGTGAAATTTTTTCTGAAACGTACGGTTCCCCGTCTGCCTGTCGGTGGAAATGGAAAACGGGCCCTGGCCGGGCTTTGTCCGTTGTCCCCGTTTCCCTCCCTGTGCACCCTCGGAACCTCTCTCTGTCTCTTTTTTTTGTTTTCAGTTTTGTTCCTCTTTCCTCAATCACTTTGTTGTTGTTGTTGTTGATGTTGTTTTTTGGCCGTTATTGCTGTTGCTGCAGCTGCTGGTGCTGATACTGCTGCTGCTGCTACTACTAGTGGATGCTGCTGTTGCTGCTATTACTATTGCTTGTAATGATAATGCTGATGCTGCTGTTGCTTATGATGATGATAAGTGATTGTTGAATTTGTTGGCAGTAATTGAATTGGTCCAATTTTTTTAAATTTATAAACATACTTATTATTGTTGCTTATTTATTTGTTTATTTTTAACTTGATAACTGGTGATAAATTTTTGTTGCAGGTAATCAGATATGTTTTAGTTGAATGAATGAACGAATGAATAGAAGAATAAAATTTTTTGGCTTTTAGATGTGATATTGTTGTTGTTGTTGTCGTTATTGTCCCTGGTCTAGTAGTAACTGTTGTTGTTGTTGTTGTTGCTGCTGCTGCTGTCTGTAGTACCCATTTTTTCTATGGTTTATATGCGTTAGTGTTAATGTCGTCGTTGATGTTGTTGTTATTGTTCCTTTTTTTTTTCTTTTTTTTTTTGCTTCACTGGAAAGATCATTGAGACAAACAGTGAGCGCTGTTATTGCTGTTGCCGCTGTTACTGCCTGTAATTCTGAGTGACAAATCTGTTGTTTGTTGCAAAAACAGAAACAAAACAAAAAACGAAAAGGAAGAGTTTGAAAGGGTGATAAAATTTTTTACTATAATCACAGTTTTTTATGTGAAGTGATCAGTTGTCAATGAATCATTCGCCTCCGTGGTTTTTTTTTTTTTGTTGTTGTTGTTCTTTTGTGATCTGTTCTTTTTTCCTTCATTTCTTCAAATACTGTCTGCCTATTTGTCAGTTTTTCTTTTTGTCTTTCTTTCTTCTCACCCAACTAACTATATATGCATCAGTGGTATCTTCAGAAATTCTTAAATGGAAATTGAAAAAGTTTTTTTTTTTTTTTTTGAACGACTTATTTTTGGTAATTGAACTCTGCTGTTGCTATTGCTTTTTTTTTTTTTCTTGCGACTTTGAAAAGATTTTATGTTGAATAATAGATGCGTGGATGATGTTTGTCGATGATGGAAAAAAAGTGATTGAACATGTCCATAAATGGAGAGGGAGAGAACGTTGGCAGGAAGAAAGAGTTGGGTTGTAAAACTTTTCAAGAAGATGTAGTTGAATTTACAGGCGGAATATTAGGTGGCAAAAAAAAAAAATTTACAATGATGAGGTAGTCATCGCAGTTGTCGTCGTTGTTGTCGTAGCTGTTATTGTTGTTGGTGGTGTTGTCGTTGTTGCCGTTGTCGTTCAATGACAACAACAACAACGACGACGAAATTATCGTTGCCGCTATTGATGTTATTA